AGCGTCGACCACTTTAGTTACTGGAAACGATACCCTACAACAGCGGTCCCCAACCTTTTTTGCGCCACGGACCGGTTTATGCCCGACAATATTTTGCCCTACAAAACAAAAGCGCTATCTTTTTCCAGTGTGGGCTGAGCAATCCAGGCTCCGTTTCTCAAGCAGATTTCACAACTGGTGGTGAGCTGAAGTGCACAGTGAAAGAGACGCTTAAAGAGAACCTAATGGTGTCATTCATCTCTCCATGTATCTATTATTGATAAGCTGAAGCAAAGATGTTTTCCATTTGACTTCTCTCTGAATTTAGAGATCCATTCAAACTGGACAGATTATCATCATGTTTTAGATCATATACATTTTCAGAAATGAGACCAACCTGTCTGAAAGGAGATATTTATATAGTTACTTATTATTACCATTGTAATGTTGTAATCTATTTGTGTTTGTGTTCACTCTTCAGACCTGCACCGGCACTGCCATACAGACCACCAAAGATTCAAAAGGACTGTTGAGCTCTCAACTTCATGGACATGTAGATCTCCGACTAATAGATGGAGACTTTCTTAATTTGCACTAATTTCTGAGACTCTGTTAGACCTTTGGGACAGTTGGAAGTGTCACAGAGTTCCCAGCAAAAACGGGGGCTAACATCAAACCTTGATGCTACGCCTCTAAAAGGTGCTTTGTCATCCTTGCTCAGGTACCAGTGAACTATTTATCTATTTAACTATTTAACTAGGATACTACCGGTTTGTGCAAAGAGGACTCTGATGAGGGATGATTCTCTTCGTGGGAAACTCGAGGAAAAGACGAACGCGAGGCGTCATTACGGACACTTCGTTTTTGCATTCTGTGATTGTTTTTATACATTTTCTTCTAAGCAAAATGCTGAAATATAAAGTCTTTTTTATAACTCGTCACGTTGCTTGAATGATCAAAGTGCAAAACATTTTGTTTTTTGACTTGGATGATGATAAATGGAGATAGAGGACGAGTCGGTAAGTAGTGGCGCAATGTTATTTCTCCAGTTTTTCATTTTTTATCACGTACTGAACACCAAATAAGTCCTCTATGTCCTTGTTGCTTCAGTGCTAAAAAAAAATCTCCTATTTTCGTGAAAATACGGCTATTTTCTTCATGAATCATCTAAACGCTGGATAAAAAGAATTTGATTCCCTTTTAAGACGTAGACTACATTTTTATTGTGGCATTAATCCGCTCACTTTACAGTCTGTGCACCAGGCTCTTTTATTCCTTATAAGTTCATTTTTGCAGGAAAGTACAAAGAGGAAAGTAATTTTCACACACCTCAGCCTGCCTCTGACATACTGCTCGGGGCATGCGTTGGACTCTAGACATGTTTTCTCCTGATACTGGCAAGTGCTGTGGAGTGTCAACAGACTTGACAGACTGACTGTGTTCCAGACAATTACACCAACGCCGAATGATTCAACATCAATACTGGCGTTTGTACGTTTAACGTTTGCGCTCGCCTCGTCCTTGAGAGGGCGAGCCAAGCCGGATGACTTCAGCGCCACAAGCTTTCCAGCGAGATGTTTTACCGTATCCGTCCTGTTCTTTTTGTTGCTTTCACAACATTCCTTTTGGAGTTTCTATGACTTCACTGTTGTCGAACGCCGAGCTCACTCACGCATTCACAGCGGCGCTCATTGCACCCCAGAGCATGAGTCAGGCTCTTTTTCTTTTTTTTTCTCAGTGTTAGTTGTTGACTTGAGGGATTCAATTGTTAACTTCACAGCGCAACGTGTCAGTGTTTGCATAAGGCATTTTGTACTTGCAGTGTTTCCGAATGCAGTGCTTGTTCAATCGCTGCTGCAGAATAACTGAAGCCAGTCACGCCCTGCATACCTGCATTGTGTTTTTGTAGTATCTAAATGATGCTTTATTTCCCTTGTTTTGGATGTGTTCAGATGTGTTCAACAGAGTCACCGCTCTGCTGGAAAATATGTCTTATTGCTGTGTCAATTAGCTGTTCAATGTTTATGCCATCTGTAAAAACCTAAATGTACTGTGTTTATTAAATTTTAAGTGTAACATGTTTAAAAACCATTGTAAAGTGTAAATGTCAGTTTTTCTTTTTTTTTTTTTTTTTGTTTTCTTCTTCTTTTTTTAAAGCACAGAAATGTAAAGAACTGCTTTGAGACGTTGCCACTATTACACTAGGAGGTGAAAACATGGTGTTGGACGATTTCCAACGTTTTAAAAGAATGACAAAGGTGTCAGGATTACATTTAAGCTGTGAGAAGACATCAGAGCCAATTAAATGTCCCCTGTTTACAAGACGGTGTTTTAATTTCATTCATACTTTGATTTATGACTATAAGAATGCAACACACCACATTAAAATCCACAAAGAAGCCACCATGACCAATAAGGACGATGCAATAAACCGACTGACCAACTAGCAACTGAACTGCCTTAACTTTTCATGGCGTAGATTCAGCAAGGTGCTGGAAACATTTCTCAGGTATTCTGATCCATATTGACATGATAGCATCGAACAGTTGCTGCAGATTTGTCTGCTGAAAATCCACAAAATTAATCTCCTGTTCCACCATTTAAAAGTGCTCTATTGGATTGAGACCGTGGTACCTGCGGAGAACTTTTGAGTACACTGAACTCACTGTCAGGTTCAAGAAACCACTTTGAGATGATGTGAGCTTAACACGGCATGGCGCATTAACCTGCTGGGAGCAGCCATCAGAAGACGGGTACACAGAGATCATAAAGGGATGGACATGGTCAACAGCAATACTCAGGCAGGCTGTGGCATTTAGGACCCAAAGTGTGCCAAGACATTAAACCTCCACCAGCAGCAGTCTGAAGGGGTCATATGAGGCAGGATTGATCCATGTTTTCATGCTGTTTATGCCAAATTATGTTCCTACCATCCAAATGTCACAGTAGAAATTACAAGACTCATTAGAACAGGAAACATTTTGCCATTTTTCTACTATTGTACAATTTTGGTGAGTCTGTGTAAACTGTAGCCTCAGTTTCCTGTTCTGAGCTGACAGGCGTGGTAACCGGTGCGGTGTTCTACTGCTATAGCCTATCTGCTTTAAAAGGAGATGTTCTTCTGCAAATCTTGGTTGTAACCAAGTTAGTTTTAAAGCTAAAACTAGATGTGAAAAAACCATTTTAGTTACATAAAATAAAAATAAAAACTAAACTTGAACAGCCAAGTTTGTGAATGCAATGACTTGAGAACAAAGCGACGTAGGAGTTTAAAGCTGATACCATGGATGGTTTCTGCTAAAAACCTCTGGGAAGTTTGAATTTTGTTTACTTTAAAATGTCAGAGATCACATTTTCTGAAAACTGATGTAGGATTTTGAAATCGATACCATAGTTGTATCTATTTTTTAGTATATTAAAAAAATTGTAATTTTTATTTTTACAGTTTTATTGCAGCTTGCCCGATGAGCCTTTAATGGATGTGTTTATTGAGATTCTGAACGTACAAGACTGTGAGTGAACTGCTTTCAGAAAGGTCTGTTTTTATTTATTATGCCCTGCTTACAATACTAATTAAAAACTACTAAAACTAAACATTTTCAACATTGAAAGCTAAAATTAAACTTTTTTTTTATGATTTTTAAAAAGATTGAAAAAACTCTGGTGGTAACAAGCGGTTATTTGAGTTGCTCTTGTTGTCATTTGGACCTCAACGCAAACAAAATATATTTTCTCTTTTCCGCACCATTGTGTGGGAAACTCCTAGTAAATCATCGATTTCTGGAATACTCAGGCCGGCACTAAAAAGCATCACCTTTCTGATGCTCAGTGTAAACTTCGGGAGGTCATTTTTACCATATCTGCATACCTAAATGCACTGAGTTGTTGCCATGCAATTCACTGATTAGATATCTGCATTAGAGAACCCTTGAACAGGTGAACCAATAAAGTGTCTGAATATATTACTCTGATGAAAGCAGCAAATATGAAAAGAAAGACATCAAATGTCCTTTCTTTTATTTTTCGTTCTATTAAGCAGAAATCTGTTAGCAGGGTTTCTTTGTGTCACTTAAAGGAGCGAGACTGAGATATGGCTCATTTTCTCAGTGACATCTTTTATGCAGGTCCTTTCAGGTACCTCATGAAGTCCTGCACTGCTTCAGCAGTTGATCTTAGTTGTTCAACAGTGCCACCTGCTGGAAAACATGGCTCATTACAACAACTGCAGCGCCTCCCTCTCTGGGGTTCAGCTCGTTATCTTGCCATAATGTGCTCGAACTACAGGCTGAAGTTGATTAAAGGTCAGCTCCCCCAGCACTTGTTAACACCACTAGCACTGGAAAAGCACACAAAAACAGGAAAACCTCAGAGATCTAAGCTGCCCTTAAATCATCATATAATCAACATCAGAGTCTAGACCCAGAAAGGTTGGACATCTACTTCTATCGCCACTCCATGCTGTCAGATTTTCATACTAAGCCTTAAATGTCTCAGTGGATATGGGCTGAGTCAGTTTGCCACAGAATCTTTTGTCACCTACAAACAGACATAAATTCATATTAACTACTTACATTCAGGGTCCAGCCAGAACCTCATAAATCAGAAACAGAACTTAAGCACAAATAGTTCTGCATTCACTTCACCTCAAATTTCTTTGTAGAAATGTCATTTCATGTATGTAAAATATAGCTAAAATAATTAGATGTGGTTTATTAAAGATTTTTTTCAGTTGATTGGTTGGTTGCCTTTCAAGAAGTTAAAGATTAAAGCCAAATGACGAATAGCAGTGATCCAAATCATTAGACCCATATTTCAAAGATCTTTTTTAACATTTTATCTTAATAATTTGTAGTGCTTTTCCTTACAGTTAGTGCAGTTTTAACAATATGAGACAGTAGATTTGACAGAAGTAGGGCTGACTGCTTACGGTTCTTCATTTGATGGCACTTTTGTTCATTTAATTTGAGTAGGATGACCACTGATGAAATCAATTTCTAAATTACACCACAGTTGATAAATAAATGCATTTTAAACTGTGCACAAGTTGTGATCTTTGTGTCGCAGCCAGATTTCATTGTAAACACCAGACCACTCTGAATCTCTGCCCACAGATCTGTGTGTGTGTGTGTGTGTGTGTCATCTGTTGGTGTCCGCACTTCTGTGAGATTAGTGGCCACATGACAACACTGGGCTGGCCGCCTAGTGAGCCTTTCATTTGGCTTCACTTGCGGAGGCGGGCTGAGTGCTGTCCAACAGTTTACTGAGAGCTGGAGACCTACAAACTCAATTTCTGTGGCTCTGTAAATGAAGTGTAAACCTGACAGACCCGGAGCCTAGTTGTGATGGCGCAGGACGTTACAACTTTAACTGGAGCGGACTATTTAGAGGGGAAATCACCCTGTTGTTCAGACACAGGAGCTTTGAACGAAGGAGACAAAGAATATGACGACATCTTGGAGCTTAATCAGTTTGATGGACTGCCTTATTCCTCCAGGTTTTACAAACTGCTGAAAGAAAGGAAGGAACTGCCAGTGTGGAAAGCAAAGTGTGAATTCATGGACACTTTGGCCAAAGAACAGTTTGTTGTTGTCAGTGGCTCTGCCAAAACTGGAAGGAGCTCTCAAGTGAGTACTGTGGGGTATTCAACACTTCAGCACTGGATGGTTTTTCTTTTTTTTACAGCAAGACATTTAAGTCATTTTTCTGGAAGCATCTGTAATGTAAGCAATTTGTCTTGTTGATCTTACTCTGAAACAGATACCTCAGTGGTGTGCTGAATTCTGCCTGTCAGTCCAGTTCCAGCACGGCATGGTGGTTTGTACCCAGATACATGCACAACAGGCTGTAGATCTCGCCCTCAGAGTGGCTGACGAGATGGATGTCAACATCGGTCACGAAGTTGGGTACAGCATCCCTCTTGAAAGTTGCTGCACTACTGACACAGTCCTCAGGTGTGGTACAGCAGCACTTCCTACGTTTCCCACTTTATACATCCAATGTTTCTTTCTCAGAGTCTTTCTCTCAGCATGGCAGCTATAGTAATGCACGGTCATGACACACAAAGCTAAATCACCCCGCCTTTTCTTCTTCTCAAAGGGGAGGTGAACAAAAGGCTTGAGAGGCTCTTTTCAGCAGTTCGTCCACAGCTGCCCGACTCCCTGTCTCCCCGTCTCCCCATATGTCACACTCCCTCATGTGGGTCCCTCATAGGTTAGCTAGGAAACAATGAAACTAAGCACATTAAGGGGAGGGAGACAAGATAAACAGGCACCCGGCAAGGATCCCCTTCCTCAGACTAATTATTAGAGTAAATTACACTAATGGCAGCAAAGCTGAAGTTTAGAGAAAGTGTTTTTCATTAAGTTGCCACCTTCAGGGATGCTGAATGGATTTTCTTTTAACATACTGGTTTAAGCATGCAGGCTTACATTATAGAAAAGATTAATTTCATGCTATATCAAAATAGATACAGTGTGCCTGTGCGTACATTTACTTGCTCTTTCCTAATGTCAAGCATCATTTTATGGCCTTTTAAAGATACTGCACGGATGACATGCTTCTGAGGGAGATGATGTCAGACCCTTTGCTCGCACACTACAGTGTTGTGGTCGTGGATCAGGCCCACCAGAGGACTGTAGCCACTGATGTTCTCCTGGGTCTGCTGAAGGACATCGTCCTGCAGAGGCCAGAGCTCCGTGTGGTCCTCCTTACAGCTTTCCCACCCAGCCCCAAGCACCCGGCCCACTTTACCGGGTCGGCAGCGCGTTTGATTCACCTGGAGACCCCAGGTGCAGGGGAGGTGGTGTACAGCAGCACAGGCGACGGCTATTTCTGCTCTGCTCTCCGTCTCGTGCTGGAGATCCATCGCTCCAGAGAGAAGGGGGATGTGGTTGTGTTTTTGGTGACAACGCAGGTAAAAAAAAAAACAAAAAAACCCCCAAAAACATCACCGCATGACCAGTAGATTCAGAAGCCTGAAACTAATGCACGTCTTTCTCTGATTTTCCTTTTTGTTAACTCTCTACCAGGAGATAGATCTGGCCCACAACATCCTGTCCCACGAGAGGAAGAGCTTACCCATCGATCTGGGTGAGCTACTGCCAATAGCTGTGCACCCTGGGCAGCCTGGGAGTCTGCCTGTCCTGGGGGAAGAGGACACCAGCCAGACCCGCCGAGTGTTCCTCAGTTCAAGCCCAAATGAGGACTTTTTCTGGGCTGTTAGCTCGATAAGCTTTGTTATTGATGCCGGGCTTGAGAAAAAATATGTAAGTTGGTTGTTATTTGCATTATTTAAATCAGCACTTACATGAAGGCTGATTTCCAGGGTTAAAAATTACATCACTGATGCAGAGACCCAGTTGCTGATTAATTAGAGAGTTTCATGTGTTGAAAAAGCAGAGATTTGAATGCATTGTATGAGACTTCCTATGCAGAAAGCAAATGAGAGAAAAACCAATATTCTGAAGTCTCACAAAAAATGTTAAAGCTTAAGCTTTGGTCTGGAAAACAAGGTACATCTTATATTATAACACAACACAATAGAGACAATAAATCAAGTTTTAATTTTAGCTTCTTGTCAGTGTTACATAGCGTGTGTTGTTTGGTTTATACCAGCTTTGACATGTGAAGATAACAATTTAAATCATCAGTCTTTCTCAAATTATTTTTTAGATACTTCTTTGTTATTTGGGGTGAAAATATTTGCCATCAAAATGTAGCTTCGTTAACTTAAATCAAGGTTAACAGCCCGCTGTGCTGTTGCAGGTCTACAACCCCAGGATCAGAACAAACTCAGTCATCATTCAGCCTATCAGCACCGGCCAAACCGAGAGTCGAAGGCAACTGGCAGGTCTGGCAGGTGAGAAGTTAAAATGCTACAAAATCTGTGGCTGCTACTTCACTGCAGCTGTCCCATCTAAAAAATGATGTTTGCTTCCTGTAGGCAAGTGTTTCCGTCTGTATCCAAAGGATAGACAACTTCCTACTCAGATACGCCCGCATATTGTGGAGTCTGACATCACATCCACTGTGCTGTTCTTGAAAAGGATGGAGATCGCCGGACTGGGTCACTGCGAATTCATAGACAGACCAGGTGAGCTCTGCATAAAATGACTGTAGAAAAACAGATTTTTGTCTGAACCATTGTCCCCTAACTTAATTAAAAATTCGGGTTCAGTCAGTTCTTTGCCTTTTGTTCCAGCACACAAGAACTTTTTGTATTGGAGGGCAGTGAGCCGTGCTTCAGCTAAACTGACAGCTCCTGTTCTGCGTGCATCCTTTTAGAGCTGACCTGCTTTCGTTTGCTTTTGTTCCCCCGGATTTATTCACCCCCACAAACACACAAACACACAGACACTGAGCCTCACATTAGCTGATTAGAGCACAGACATGGCGGAGTTGGTATGAAGGACAACACAAGATAATAGACAGCTGTGGTTTCATAATTTTTCCCTTCCTCTCATTTTGTCTTGAGGTCTGTGTTTGTATTTCTATAGGGGAAAAAACGCATTTGTTTAAAAAAGAAAAGAAAAAATAAATAAACAACTTTATTTTGCATAGTGATACACGGCAGATGTTGGTGAGGATTATAAAATCCTAATCTGCTGCTGCCCATTCACTCCAAGCATTCCCACTGGGGTGCCAGTCCACTGTGGGGGGCTGTCCTGGTGCTTTGGATTACTATTTGGACGGCATGAAAAAATGGCACACAACACTTTTACTCAACATGTATTTCAATGTAATTAATTATCTCATATGTTTTTTTTATGGTGCTTAATCCAAAACCCTGTCCAACCCAGATCCTGCAGGCCTCATGCAGGCTTTGGAGGAGCTCGACTACCTAGCAGCTCTGGATAATGACGGCAACCTGTCTGAGATGGGCATCATCATGTCTGAGTTCTCATTGGAGCCACAGATGGCAAAGACCGTGCTCGCCTCCTGTGAGTTTGACTGCGTCAGCGAGGTGGTCATCATTGCTGCTATACTATCAGGTAATGTGACTGTGTGGCTTTTTAGCACAAATATGCTATAAAGAGTCATGTAGATCTACAAAACCGTGCTTTGCTTTTTTTTTTTGGATTCTTTTAGCGCCATCTTGCTTCATGGTTCCTTCTGTGGAGCTGAAACCAGAGGCGACCCAGTGCTACATGAAGTTCCAGCACCCAGAGGGAGACCACTTCACCCTGATTAATATCTACAAGGCCTATAAACAGTGCCAGCAGGATCCATGTGAGTGAGCAGAGCATCACCATGCACAATCTCATAATGTTTATACCAGTGATAAGTTTCCTACAGTTTAGACCAACGGTGTCAAACATAAAGTCCAGGGGCCAAAATCAGCTCGCCAAAGATTCCATTCTGGCCCACTGAACATTGTTGGAGCATGTGAGGAAGGACATGAATTTTAGACTTTTTATTGCATTTATATAAGTTTTACAGCTTTTCCTACATGGCAGCTTATACACCACTAAAGTAAATAAGTAATAGATAAACAAATGAATAACAGAAAGATCCTGGTGTTTTTACCATCTACTATAGAAATTTGGGATTTTTACAGTGGGTTCACAGTAAAAGTTATGAATAATATAAAATATTAAAATGATAAAAAATTATAAAAATGTAAAACACAGCTTTCTATTAGACTGTGTAAAATGAGCTGACATGTTTTTTCTGTAATATTACACATTTATTTCTTACGATTACATTTTTTTAATCAAGTAGAAAAAGTGAGATTTATTTTTGTAACTGCACTTCTTTTTCTTATATTAAAATATCGCGGGGATTAAATGTGTAGTTGGCCCACTTAACATCAAAGTGGGCTGAACCACAGTGTAAAATGAGCTCGACTTCCCTGGTTTAGACAGTAGGCAGAAAAACTAAACACATGGCAGTTTTAAGAGTTTAATTACTGCCACCGATTCAGTAATTCAAACCCATCTTCCTGTTTTGTCAGACTGTAATATAGAGAAGTGGTGTCAAGACTTCTATCTGGACCACAATGCTTTGCTGATGGCCGACGGGATTCGCAGTGAGCTCACCGACACCCTGAAGAGGATCGAGCTGCCCATTTCAGTGCCCGCCTTTGGTTCCCGAAGTAACGCGGTCAACATTAAGAGAGCCCTCTTAGCAGGTTTCTTCATGCAGGTCAGAAAATGTAATTTATTAGCGTCCATCCTCCCATTTTCATTACTGCTTTTCAGAGTCATGGTCACAAGGGAGGTAGGGAGAATCCTGCACCCATCCATGCACACGGCCATATTGGAATAAACTGTTAAGTTAGAAATCCTGTTTTCTTGTTGTTGTTTTTTATTCCAGCCCAAAAAGCACAGCAACTGTATTCAATCTGCAGTGAGAATTTAAATACTCTGCTTACAACAAACACCCACAGTCTTTCTAAAGACTCTTAAAAACATTAAACTCTCCTGAGTGGAACTAATGGCAGCATTATGAAGGGTGTTTTAATCATGTGTAATTTCACTCAGAGTTTAGTCTCCATAATTAATGGTCAAAGAATGGGGCCCATTTCGAATATTAATGCATTTCCATTTATTTAGCATGTAGGTGATTAAAGACATGCTGAATAATTTGCTTTTTATGACTAATTTAAACAATCAAAGCTGACAAACATTATCATTATATTATTTAGCCCCAACAGCTTTACCACCATGTTGCCTTCAGCTTTGAATACAGATTTTGACTGATTAATTAAAGACTTCACTGGTTTGCATCTTCGCTTCTTTGCACACTAACTTCAGTTATTGAACTTAGCTGTATTTATATTTTAATTCTAACCACACACTTCAGTTGCGTTCATCACGTCGCTTTGGCTCGAGCTCACATTTCAGCTTCTGTCAATCTTAACACCTCATCAGACTCTTTAAACACCGCGTATTTTGTGCTCTGAGTCTACCTCTCAGCCGACACTTCTACTCCTTTCGGAACTTGCACTTGTTTAACTCCTCGTCTTTAAATTTGACTTCACTCACTGCTTATTTAACCGCCCCTTCCCTTTCAACTTATTTCCATATTTGCATATAGACTGCCAGATTGTGAGTGTGAATTCAGCTTTTTTGTGTGTCATTTACTATGGTTTTTATTTTTAAAAACTGTATTATTTAAAGGTAAAAATGACAAGTATGAAATCACATCCTGCACCAACTCTTTTTCCCAGGTGGCACGTGATGTGGATGGATCTGGGAACTACTTTATTATAACCCACAAGCACATAGCGCAGATCCATCCTCTGTCTGGCTACGGAGCCAAGAGTCCCAAGCTGGGCCTGCCTGAGTGGGTGTTGTTCCACGAACACTCCTTTTCAGAGGACAACTGCCTCCGCACCGTAACCCACATAACACCACAGGAGTAAGTCTCAGCCTTGCTTCCATTTCCTTCCTTTAACATTTTCATTTGTTGACTTCTTTAACATTTGCATAAATGACTAGATGCAGTTTTTTTTTTTAGACCACCCTTCTGAGGGAGGCTTAAATGTAATCAGATGGACACATTCCCCTTCCCCTTTGAACCGTATGTATTTAAAGGCCTAGTTCAGCTCAGACTGGTCATGCTGGTTGTGGAGGGAGGTCCTATAATCCTGCTTTCTAAGTATCTGCTAGTTGAAGAAGGGATTATGGATTGCACAGATCTCTAAGAATGTGGAGCTGCAGCTTAATGGAGGGAGAGAAAGCTCTATAGCCTTTCTCATGCTGTCTTACGTTTCACATCCCGAGCATGTGCAAATCCGTTCACTGTAGCTCGAATATGAGGAGCAGACACACCGTAAGTCTTCTTTCCAACAAAGGCGTGTGCCGCTCAGCACTAAATGAGATCGAAAACAGCTTTGCAAATTGAAATTAAGTTTGCATTAGTTAAATTCATCACAAATTAGAAGGTCTACAGTTGTTTTTTTCGGTGCACAGAACACTAAAATATTCTCTCCTTCGTTAGGTTCATTCAGATGGCACCACAGTACTTTTTCTACAACTTACCATCGAGTGAGAGCAAAGACATCCTGCAAAACATTTTGAACCACGGGGCTTCTCAGTACCAAGAGGAGAAACCACCAGCAACACAAAAGGAATCCCATGAGGATCAGACTTCTGACCGCTGTGTTATACAGTGACTGATGGAGCCACTGTTTCAAGTTATTGGGACTTTTTGCACAATATAGTACAGAAAGAGACTGGATCATCAAGTAAAGAATCCTATAATTGTATTACTTTTTTGTGGCACAGTTACTGTGCCCTAACCCCCAATCCCAATATAGTCTTTGTATGTTATATTTGAATAGCTATAAAAAATGAACTAATATATGAAATAAAAATATTGCTCTTTTTAAGCCCATATTATTCGCATTTATACGTGTTCAAGATTTTTTACATTGCCATCGAGTCCTTTAAAGATTTTCTGACTTCCCTTCCTCCTCATCTCTCTTCAGCCATCAGACAGATAGCACTGTGTCCCCGGCCTGATTAATGAGTTGCAGTAGCAGTCTGGACATGTCTGCAGCTCCATCTGGTGTGAATATAGCTGACACCAGAGGGCTGACCCAGTTCACTGACACCACAGTGAAAACATCTTTCACCTCTTTGGTGGGCTTGAACAGCGCATCAAGGACGGTTGACCATAACCCACAGGGTGCCATGCTGCCTTGAAAATTGCAGGGGCTAGTTTGATGGCAAAGCACACTGTACTTTTTTTTTTTTTTTCCAGAGATACAGTACTTTTGCAAACTGGTGTCAAATGCATATCGTTAGCAAGCAACAATTTAAGAGAAAACAATATATCACAGTATGAAATTCAAAAACATTTTATTATTATCATCCCACAGCAAACCATGCTGATTTAAAAAAAAAAAAAAAAAAAACCCTCAACAGCACTGTGGACGAACTAACCTCTAAAGCTTCCACTGTATGCTTCCAATTTATTGCACATTCTAGTTTTTGGAAAAGCAAATAACACGTTTTAGCTTATTTAAGCCTGTCACACATCAGTTTATTTTATTCACAGCTTCACTGGCATTATTGAATATCAAAAACGCCAATTAAATTGAAAAGAATATTTTGCTAAGCTTGTTATTTTTAAGCTCCTTTGTGTTGCATTTACATTTGGTAATAACCGCTTTTAAATTGTCATCACATTTTTTTGTGTCTGTAGAAAAAAAATAAAAATAAAATAATAATAATTTTAGATGTTTGGTACAGTCATAAATGCGTAAGAGCTTTAGAAGTGACCTAAAACTAGCTAAGCCATCATAAAATTAAATAATAGCATCTGAATTTACAAGTCTTCACAAAAATGTACAGTTTAAAACCTGTGATGCAAATGTTAGAAAAAGATGAAGGCGCTGGAGGTGAAGTTAGCCTTGAGACTGTAATTCAGAGTAAGACAGGTTGCCTGAGTGTTTGCCTGTTATTGTGACTACAAGCCATTATTTTATATCATCGCATCTTTGAGGATGTCAAGTCTTCTCCAAAATGTACCCTGGAAGTTCGGCGAGGTCCAGAGAGCAGAGTCAGATTCTTGAGCGTCTTCCTTGTTATGGCTTGCGTGTGCCTGTGTCGTCACTTCCTGTCCGCTGCATCAGCTGCTGCAGGAGCTCAACGTAGAGTTCGACGCGGCTGACAAGAGGAGCGTTTTTCTCAGCACGAAGCAGCTTGGAGTATACATTCTTATAGGTTTTCAGCAGCTCCTCGTCCTTATTGCTGCAATAAAGATGAAAGAGTTCAAAAGGGCAGATGAAAAGGTTGCTTAAATTCACAATTAATCTCTTTTGTTCTTGTTTTTTCCTTTTTAAATACATTTCATGTAGTCATAGTAAATGTTGCTGTACCCGTATACTGTCAGGTAGGACCACTACTTAATTATTACAATGTGATAAACAGTAAAGAGTATGATCTATTTTAGCTTTATTATATCACCTTTAAATGTTTCTTGTTTCATTAAATCCAGGAACTTTTCCCTAAAAGTTTGATCTAGTCCCAATGGGTTTCTTTTATTATTTTATGGCTGTTTTACAGCAATAGCTTCTTGCCATCTCATGATGGTAAGCAATAAGGCAGTGACATTAAAGACGGATATTAAAATAAAGGTCTGTGTAAAATTTAAGTAGATATCCTAACCAGCTTTCATACTGGAGCTCACCTTGGTTTACGTTTCGCTGTCGTCATCAGTTTGATCACCTGCAGGAGCAGGAAGGAGAAACTGGGCTCAAATACGCCAATTAACTTCATCACTTCCTGGAGGTTCAGTCCTGCCATTGGGCCATTGGCTACGTCGGAAGACTCTGCTGACTCAGCAGAGTCTGGTTCATTCAACTATGGAACAAGAAGTAGAAGGAAAAGACTGTATGTTACCAAAGCTTTACAAATTCAGTCATTTCCACCAAGTTATTTTTACTACTCAGAAGAATTTAGCTGTAATGGGGTTACTGGGGCTTCATTAACATAATATACACTCATTCGATTTATTAAATGGTCAGAAAACACTTAGATTTTTGTTAAATAAGGAATTTGAACCTCCCTGCCTGTGCTGTATGCTTAAGTGCATAAATCACACCCCTGAGCCAGGAAAAATCCTCCATGAGCTACTGTGAAACTCACCTCTGTCTGCTCCTCCTGTAGCTCTTTATGAATCAGCTGGAAAGCATGGCGGGTTTCTGTCATGATCTCTATTGCCCCAGTCAGGCTCTTCAGCTTAGCTGTGCTGCTGTTCTGACCTGTGGACAAACAACATGAAGAATTATCAAAAGAGGCTTTGAAAAGAAACACTGTTTTTCAATTCAACCCTCATCTGACAAAAATAAAACAAAACATTGCAGCCAACATTGTGATAGTCATCATAATGAATAGCTGCGCACCTGCCATCGTAAACTCAGCAAAAGCCACCCTCTCCAGCAACGTGCGGAGCAGCTCGCAGGGTGCGTCTTTGAGGCTGAGGAATAAACTGACAGCCTTGCTGTAGTGAAGCTCTGCCAAGCTCCGATGCTGCTTTCTCAAGTGTTCATCCCCCACCTGTCACACAATTACAGCCAGAAACACAGACATCCATCAGCTCATTATACCGCTACAAGCATAAAGACAGGCAGCGTATCCCACTTCTGTTCTTTTCTAGTCAGCGTGAACGTCGTTTCCTTACCCAGAGTCACATATTTTATTTTTGGCATGCATAAAAAGCATTGAGCCAAGAAATGCCAATTATTAACACAAAGAGCATCCAAGACATTGGAAAGGAGAATGGTTTTCTACTGTTCTATAATTTTACATAACTTCCCACCTGATTGCGAAAACAGCTGTGGTACATAGAAGCCAAGCGGTGATGGATGGTGGCGGCTCTGTACTGATAGAGTGGCTGCCGAGCAGAGTCAGTCTGCAGGTCGCAGTACTTGAGAGACTTCATCATTGCTTCGGTCACCTCTCGCTCAATCTGGTAAGACAAACAGGAATGGATAAATAAAAAATTACTGTGTATGAAAAATAAGAAATAAAATGTACTTGTAAATGTGATCAAAATATGATTAAAACACAATATTTATTTACTTTCATGGCTGAGAAATGATGATATCAGGTATAATACAATATGATAAAAACAAAAACAACAAAACAAAGCAGATAAACAAAAATAACCCCCCCCCAAAAAAATCTTGTCCTTGCTTTTTTTGGCGAAATGAGGAATTCTTTCTCAGCTGCAAGTGTGAGAGATTCAGCATAGCAAGGATAAAGCTGTAAACTGAAGTGCTACCAACAAGAGTGACTAATGGACTGAAATCATTTTCCAGCCAAAGATTCACTATAATGATTATTCAAGTGGGGTGTGTGGTGTTTGCTGACCCAATTCATGCACAGTGTGTGTCCCTTTATCAGCGCAGAGCTGGTCCTGACACAAAAAGGCTACAAGTCAGACAAGTAGACCAAAGTGATCTGATAACAAAGGGAAGGTGTCCACACATGCATCATTAGCAAAAGAGGGAGAACTGCAGTGAATATAAATTGCATGTACCGTGTAAACTAGCCAAAAATATATGCAAGTACGATTTTGATATCCTTAATAATGTAAAATGTGTTAAAGCCTTAATATTCTACCTAGCTCCAAATGTGTTGAAACCCACCTGTTCCTGGGCCTTCCTGGATACTGGGGCATAGTCCTGCAGAAGGGTGGCCAGTGTGAAGTACGTAGTGGACAATTCCCAGTTTACACTGTCCCACACTGCTGAGTGCTTCTCTCTGCTTGCCAATGCTTTCATGGCCTGCAGGTAGTAGTCTATAGCCTGAGGTAATATTGCAAAGATAGTATGATTAGGCACAGTCAAGATGCAGTGAGACAGATGGTTGAAAAAACAAAAAAAGCAGAGTGTTAGTAAGAACACTTAATCAAGAATTTAAGAAAACGTCAGTGTGGCACCTTGTTGTAGTAAAGAGCCTCTTCAGGTGAAAACTCTCCTCTGCCTTCATCGCCAGAGAGGTTACAGTGGGCCTGGGCACAGATTCTCATCAGCCTGCCAGTATTACAGAGCAGTAAGGCTGTGTTAGTGCTGTCCCCAATGGCTTCAAAGTCCTTCATCCCTTTCTCAAAGAAGCCAAAGCTCTTTTTCCACATCTCCTGCTCTGCTGCAGACACAGACTTCTTCACTAGAAGGGGAACAGGAGAATAAAAAGGCTGGTGATATACTACAAAAAAAAAAGAAAAAGAAAAAGAAAGAATAACTCTCGCCGTACTCTTTTAAACAAACTGCATTTGCTGTAGTGTAACTTACCCTCTTTCTCAGCCTGCATGGCTGCAGCCTGGTTCATGTAATAGACTCCCATCTCATTGCGTATGTTCCCCAGTCGTTTGAGAACCTGACTCAGCTGATCTGAAGTAAGATCTTTCAAAGGCTCAGAGACAAGTAGTTCATATGCTGCCTCATAGCACTTGCTGCTAACAAACAGCTGGTACTCTGGGTCCATCGCTAGGTCTGTTGCCATGCTGAAGGCTAGTAGATAGAGAATAAAAGGAATGGAATACTTTTTAGGACATTTTGCTAAACAATTTATTGTGAATGACTTTGAAGACAGTGAAATATTTAAGACACTGCACACCATAGCAGCAGGAATATCAATATACTGAATTTCTCTTTAGGGACTGACCCTGGCAGCTGCTCTCTCTGTGCAGGCTGTGCAGAATCTCCTGGTCCTCTTTGGTCTGGTAGCTGTATTCCTCCAGGTAAGCTGCTCTGTTGTTTGCATTTTGAGCCAACATCAGCTGGATGTCCCCACACAGAGACAGGCACTGGCTGTGAAAAAGTAGCACATGTGGGTGCAGTGTACCGCTCACTGAACAATAGGCATCTGGAAGATGAGGGGATGGAAAAAGACAATTTTGAAGAAACTTGTCACTGTCGAGATTAAAATTAAACAACAAAGAAATGTAGTTTAAGTTTCAATTAATTGATTATGAAACAGTTAAAGAACCTCACCATAACACTGCAGAGATAGCTTGATGTAACGCAACGCTCGCCCATACTTCAGCAAGTTAGTGGCCGCATCAGAGAGGACGTAGTAGGCCTTTGAGGCTTTGAAGAAGAGTTTCAGCTTCATATGATGCTGCCAGGAGCCGGGGATCATCCCTGAGCGTGTTGTGTGCTTCTGCTCCCCTTGCAAGGGACCTGCTGCTTAAAAAGCAAGAAGACAGGAAAAGGAAGCCTCAGTGAAAACCATGTTTGTCTATGTCACGTTTTCTTCTGCAGTATTATAAGTTGTTTTTACCCCTTTCAAGCAGGAGAGAGATGCCTTTCTCAGTTGCACAGGCTCCAGTAGCACTTCTGTCTTCATATTTGAGAGGGATGGGTG